AACCAAGTCTTCCGGTGGGAGGGGTCACCAGTCAAAACCGAGTCTTTTGCCCCAAGGGTCACCGGAGCAAACCAAGTGGTTATTTTGAGAGTCACGGGTCAAAGCACAGCCTTTGGCAAGAGGGGTCACGGGACCAAAGCGAGTCCTCTCCAAGAACAGCGAGTCAAACGGAATCCATCATGGCAGCCAACGGGCCCAACTGGGTCCTTCTCTCGAAGGAGGGCTGGTGCACCGATCCGAACGCGTCCCTTCCAGCGGAACCAACTTCGACCCCAGTCCCCAGGCGAAGGCACGGCGGGCCTCCTCAGACGCTGATGGTGCGGAAGACGGTGAAGCCCGACAGGGCGGTGCTGACCAGGACCCCGGGGCACTGTGGGTGCCAGTGCAGCTCCTTCAGGTCGGTCTCGCCCTGGTGCACGAACAGGAGCTGCTGGGGAAGGTCCGCCAGCGCGGGGTCCGTCTCCGCGTCGCCGGCCTCGGGGTCCCGTTCCACGGCCAGGTCCCACTGCGTGATCTGGTTGTCCGCGCCCGAGGCTGCAAAGACCCCGCTGTCCTGGGGGTGCCACTCGACAGAAGTCACGGGGGCCACGTGCTGCTTGAAGGTGGCCACTGGGGAGCCAGACTACGGGAAGAAGGGAGTCGGGGGCTCTGAGCACCTCGGCCTGACTCCCAGGGCGACCCAGGCCGAGCCCTCACCGCTCTCCCGCTGGAGGGGTGCACCCGGGCTCCTCCCCTGGACTCCCAGATTCCCCGAAAGGGACAGAGGGCAAAGCAGAACCGGTAATAAAGACGTAGCGTCTCAGGGGCTGCCGGGAGCTGTGGTTTCCCCTGCCAAGAACCCCCTCCGAGCTCCGGCTCACAAGATCCCCGGCCTCGGTCCTCCCTGGGCATGCCTCAGTTTCCCTTCCTATACAAGAGGAGGGTTCTCAAAGCGCTCCCCCTGCTGATTCTACAAAGGCCTTAAAGGAGGAGGAAGCATGGCTCCCAGGCTCCGGAGGCAGCCGATGAAAAGAAAAACAGCACTTGTGTGGTACGCTAAAGCAAAGGGAATTCTAAATCGGAGAAGTGGTTCCGAAGTCCCAGTGGCCAATCAACTTGGCCATGCACTTTCCTTGGGGGCCGGAGCCCGCTTCTAGAAGCTTCCTCAGGGCTGGCTCTACAGGAGGGGAACAAAGACTCCGTCCTGGTGGTCCCGGGCAGGCACAGCGCCACGCCAAGTGCCGGCTCCGTCCACAGGGAAGCCGGAGACAGTTTCTCCTGCCCAGAACCCCTCTCAGCTCTACGAAGCCAGTCCTCGGCTGGGTGGTAATGTCCTATCCGCTCCCGTTCTTTCTGTACCTCAGTTTCCTCCCCCGTAACGATCGATCTGGGCTCCCATTCTCAGTGAATTCCACAGAACCCATTAACAACGAGTCTACAACTCCTCGCGGCTCTGAAGTCCCGAGCCACACGGCCCACCGCGCTGCGCCCCAGGCAGGTAGATGGGAATCGCGGCCTCTGCGGCCACCCGGCCCCTTCTGTCCCCCGTCACCTCTCCAGCCGGCGGAACGAGCGA